AGTGATGGATGCTGTAACCATCACCCATTCCTGCTAAGTGTCTTGTCTTATAACATCAATATGTATTTTCAGTACCATTCTATAGTTATTGATATCAAACATTTCTACTATTCTAATGCAAAATACATCTGAAAAAGGGAGCTTTCTTGTGATACCATTTCTGCTGTTTTAAACCAAATATATATCTCATTAAGTCAGACAATTGCCCAACTAATATTGGTTAAGCACACAATTTGTGCCAGATTCCATTCTAGGATCCAGAAGATAAATCAGCCATGGTCTGTCTTCATGGAGATTATAGCTTATCATAAAGACAGACATTGAACAAATGTAAGTACAGGCATGATGGGTGCTGTAGAGGAGAAGTGGCAGGATGCAATTGGCAAGGCCGGGGCTAGAGTGAGGCAAAGGAGGTGCCTAGGGTACAGCATTGAAGGAGGCACTTGCATGACCCTGAGAATGAGTGCCTCCTTAGATGTTGCACCAAGGGCACTTCCCTCTCCTCGGCCTAGTCCTGGTCCTGGCAATCAGAAAAATCAGAGTGAAAGAGAAAACATTCCAGATGAAAGGAAAGGTTTGGGGGTAATATTCCCTGGTAGTGATCTTTTGCTGCCTCTTTGGACACTCAGCACATATATGAACCTCTTTCCACCTGGGAGTAATGCTCCATTCTTTGGGTCTTGATGGAAAAGAGGACTGACTTCCTACTAACAGCAAGCACTGAAGATAAATATCCTTTACCAACCTTGGGAGTTAGCAGGCAGGCTCATGACCCAGGCTTGACCAAATGGATGCTCTAACAAAGGTCTTTCAATTTTAAAAGACCAAATCCAAACCATAGGGAAGGTAGAAAACATACTCACATTGTGGCAGCAGCAAAGACAAGTGTCCAGGTGATGCTGGTGTCCAGTGCAGGATGGCTGTGCTGGTGATGGGATCCTGGTAGATTATTTCTGCTGCCCACTCTCCCTTGGTTCTTCCAAGTCCAATTGTCTAGACTTCCAGTCAGTTCTATGAGCTACATGTTATCCTTCCAAGAAATGCCCTTTCTGCTTAAATTGGTCTCCGATGACTAACAAGAAACCCTTATGAGACTGAATGCCAACATGTGGGACAAACTGACCTGGCAAGGAGGTAAAAGGATCAGCAGCAAAACTCAGGGTAGGAGGCCTGGAGTACAACAAAAGAGGAGGAACGGTGCTAATGAGGGACTAAGGTGAGACAGCAGCCCTAAAAACAGCGAGGAAAAGTGGGGTTTGTACAAAGCCAGTGCAGAGAAAAAAATCAAGGGGTCTTGATGGCTGATTTGATATGAGAAGTGAGAAGGAGAACTTCCAAAAGCTTTTATATCTCAGACAATGATGAAGCAGGAGCACTTGGGAAGGCAGACCTGCTTGAGTAGGAAAGTGACATTCTTGGATTTGACATATTCATAGAGCTAACAAATCTGTATTGCATTCCCACTGTGTTTCATGCACCAAGGATGGAATGGGCAACAAAAATGACAAGGACCCTGCTATCGTGAAATCCAAATTCTCCTGGGCAGATAGACAACGAACAAGTAAATGAACAACCTAATTACTGGTTTTTGAGAAGTGGCAGGGAAATAAAGGACCTTGTGAGATATGATAATCAACGATGACATTTAAATTAAGGCCTGGAGGGTGGCACAGAAACAACCATACGTATATCAGAGGAAGAGCTCCCTTAGGCAGACGACATGGATGTAGTGAGGCATGAAGACAAGAAAAAGGTTGTTGATAAGAAGGAACAGAAAGGAGGCCAGAGTGACTTGAGTGTAAAGAGGAAGGAAGATGCTACAAAGGTGACCATGGCTAGGCCGGGCAGGGCCTCACAGGTCATGGTAGGGAGTTTAGACTTTATTCTTGGTGAAACAGGAAGCCATTGTCAGTGTTAAATAGAGCAGTGACAGGATATCATTTACCCTTTGGCTACTGTGTGGAAATTTAATTAGAGGATTAAATGAGAAACCAGTTAGAAAGTTTATTACAGAAAATCAGATTAAGATGAGAGTGGCTTGAACTAGATGGAAAGAAATGGATGGTCTTGAGATATATTTTGAAGGTAGAGCCACAGGACTTCTGATAGATTGAACAGAGTGAAACAAAGTGAAGAACCAAGGACAACTTCTAGGTTTGGAGCAACTGGGCTATTATTTACTGAAAAGAGAAAAAACAGGGTAGAAATAAGGCTTGGTGAAGTGAAGTCCCCACCAGGAGTTCCATTCTAGATACATTAGGCATTCAAATGGAGATGTCACTTAAGGAGTCCAGAGGTTTGAGACAGCCTGGGACTGGAGATATAAATTTGGAAGTGATCAGCGTATAGAAGGTGTTCAAAGCACCTAGTGAAAAAGAATAGAGAAAAAGAGCCTAAAAAAAAGCTCTGGTGACTGGGAAGGGAAAGAGGAACCTGGATAGAGGGCTGAAAAAGGAATGACCGATCAGAGGGAAACAACGAGAGTCAGGAAACTTAGAAGTCAAGAGGGAAAAAAAGCATTTTCATGAGAAGTTAGTGTCCCCTATGTTAAATACTGCTCAGAAGTCACTAAGAGGACAATTGAGCTGCCTCTACTGTGTTTGACAACATTGGGGATCACTGGTGACCTTTACAAGAGAAATTTCGATGTCAGGGCCAAAACCAAATTGAATTGAGTTGAAAAGTGCATGGGAACTGAGAAAATTGGGAAAGTGAAGGAGGATAACATTTTGAGAAAATTTTCTTTGAAAAACTGTAAAGAAATGGGTCATTGTCCAGAGAGGGATGTGGGATTAAGGGGTGTTTTGTTTTAAGAAGGGAGGTACTAAAGCATATTTGTATGATGATTTAAATAGTCCTGCGGAGACAGGGAGAATGAAGAGCATAATTGAAGATGAAGTCCTTGAGTAGAGGAAAGGAGGCGGGCTATGGGCACGTGGAGGGGTTGGTTACTCTGGAGTAAGCACCACTCTTCTAATGTAAGCCAAAGGAAGACAGGAGTTGTAGGACAAGATGCAAGAACATGTAGACTTGGTAAAGAGAAGATGAAGTTGTTTCTGATGGTTTCTATTATCTCAAAATACAAGGCAAGGAGTGATATTTTAGACAGAGGAAGTGATAGAAGATTAAGGAGAGAAGGGAAAGTGTGGCATGGTCATTTCAGAGAGTGAGAAACCAAGCGTCTTAGAAGAAAACAGGAGGATAGCTGGGCAATGTTGAGTGCTATTTGAGGTTTGAAGCCCTGAATTTCTGGTGAAATGAATTAGATCCATTAGGTAAGTTTCTCCAAGAATAATCAGCTGCTAAGGCGTGCAAAAGGAGAAGGCAAAGAGGTGGTTACATTCCACCAGGCTGGGAATTTCACAAATGGAGGCCATGCAGTATGGAACATGGGAGTTGAGAAGGTCTGCAAGAGAATTGTCACTAGATTACGACATCCAAGCTGAGTACAGAGGGAAGTGAGATCAGACGGTTGAGATGATTAATGGAAAAGTAGTGGGTTCCAATTTAAAAGTGATTAACTCTGGAGAGTAGGAGTTGGAGCAAAGTGGAGATGGAGGGTCTTAATTTTTTACAGGCAGGGAATTTCTATGCAGGGTCTAAAAGGAAAACATTAGGGAGTGAGGTCAATCTAGATCCAACTCACATTTATCAGGAATCAATGTGTGCTAGACACTGCACTGGGAGCTTTCTTATCTGTTATTTCATGTAATTCTCATGACAACCCTGTGCCTTGGGTAAGATAAATCCTCATTTTAGAAAAGAGAAATAAAGCAAAGAGGATTAAATGGCTTGTCTACGGACATGCAGCTGATATGTGGCCAAGCAAGGATTTGAACCCAGATCTTCTGATCCTGAATCCAATGTTCATCCTTTAACAGCTTCACTGGCAGTTAGACAGTGAGGCTGGAGGTATTCGTCAAAAAGATCTGCTGGGAATGCCTAAGTCAAGCCATAAGGCTTAGCTTATGTTCAGTGTTCTCATATGAAGGAATTGGATAGTGGGCAGGTGATTCCAAACAGAACTTTCCAACTCAGGATAAAGAATCAAGTTCTTTTTGATTGGTCTGATAAGTAGCAAGGGCTGGGAATACTTGAGACCCTGACCCAAATCATGGGGCTAGTGATAGTAAAGTCCTGTAGTTTAGGATACGTCCTGGAAAAGGACTAGCCAGCAGCTCAATATAATGTGGCCCAATTAGGGGGCAAAGGAAAGAAATGGAGCAGGAATCCACATGGGGTCTGATACCAGCTCTCTCCAAGAAAACTTATGAGACACCATCCCGGAGTCCCTAACAGGACAGAACTCCAGTATTGTCTGGGGACAGTTGCAGCTTTTGGTGTAAAAGTAGAGAAAGAGAAGCAGCAGGCTAAGAATGGGTTCTTGTATTCATTACACATTCTCACTTGCCTCCTTTGATTTCCTCTAAAATACAGAGATTGAGCCCCATAGCCTGCTTCAGCCTTTTATCTCTAGACTCTGAAGCTATACTGGCCAATACAATAACCACTAGCCACATTTAGCTATATAAATTTAAGTATAGATTATATTAAATTAAAAATTCAGTTCCCCAGTCATACTAGCCACATTTCAAGTGCTCAATAGCCTCAAGTGGCTCATCGTTACCATATAGGACAACACAAATTTGGACATTTCCATCATTGCAGAAAGTTCTATCGGCAGTGCTGGTCTGGAAAACAGGAATCAAATGGGTAGAATATGAACAGTCCTTATTTATATCACCTGGGAGCAGCTGTTATATCATCAGGAGCCAGCCTGCTAGGAGCTATGTGCAAGACAGATTATTATCACCCACTGGTTCATTTTGTTCTCTTTAATACCCACACACATCTTTCTTCCTTCCTATTTATTTCTAAGTATAACTCGATGCAACCACCAGACACAAAGAAGGTACAGCCAAGAATGATTTAATAGAACTGTGTGATCCAATGATGTTAGAGTCAAGATTAGATAAGAGATGTCAGGCTGCAGAAGGTTATCACAGGCTTCTTGTTGAGTTTGAGGATCTTGTGTCTATGGGTACGTACTTGGGATTGACACAGCACTTAACAGCAGCATTGCATAATATGTAGAACACTTCACTCTCTTCACACATGATTCTGCACCTTCCCAACTTACCCCAACACTTCATGACTGAAATTAAAAAGAAAGGAGGAGGAAGGTGCAGAATATAAAGCAGAGGGCTGGGGAAGGGGAAGTCCACAGCCAGTGGAAAAGACAATAGTAAAGAAAATTTAGGAGATATGTGGGGAAGAAGCCCCCATGAGGCATCCTCCAGGTTTAGGGGAGATTATAGGCCACTATCCTTTCTGGTTCCCATTTGTGTCCCTAGTCATGACCTCAGAGTCCTCCCTACCAATGGCCTGGGACCTACTGGGCAGCTTCCCCTGACCAGCTCCCTTTGGGGAGTCAAGGGGTCTCCCTCTCTCCAGGGCTTCATCTCCTCCATATTATAATGTATGCAGGTGCCCAATGTCAATCTGTTACATTTTCCCTTTGCTTTTTGCTACCCTCTCTGGCCATATCAATGAAAGGGGACAGGAATCTCAAATATACCCATCTGGACATCTGCAAGTCTTCTAGGGTATCTGTAAAACTCCCAAGAAAATCACACTCCCTTCTCTACAACACCCTAAGGGCTTTTCACTGGTCTTAACCAGCCAAGATGATTAGGAACAATTGCTCTGGAGCACCTACTACCTAAAGTAGCCCAGATAAATTGAGGTTGCCTGAGGGAATGGAATCAGGATCCTCAAACAATCAGAAATTCAGGACCAGTTTTCATGGAGGCAACACGAGATCAAAATTCAAACAAGCCCCTCCCCCCAACACAGACACACAAGGAAAATTTTCTCTATACTCCATGCCCAAGTCTCTCTCCTCCTTGTACTCTGCCCCCAAAGTCATGTTCAACTTCTTCTAAGCCAACCAGAGAGAGAAGTTCAGGATGGTCGACTAATGGCACTGGAAAGATCAGTTAGTACCAGAGAACTCAAACTTCTCTTTGGCTAGAGAGGTCATCTAAAGGCCTCTGTGGAGCCTGTCAAGCCATTCTCCCAGCCCAAGATTTTAGAGCCCCCAGAGATTCCTTGATAAGCATTAGGTTTCCTGACCCATGCTTCCTTGGGAGAGGTCCTGTTTACCTCGGATGACTTGAGCCAGTGGCAGGGTAACAGTCAAAACCAGAAGAATGAGCTTCATGAATGATGGGAGAAGATAGGAGACTTCTCAGCTGACAAGTTGGGCAGAGGTGTCCATTCTGGGCAGACCAGACTGGTATTTATTGCCCCAGGGACCATGATCAGTGAACCAGAAAGGGAACAGTCACTTAATATTAGACAGGCAAGTAATCAACCACACTGGTTAAATGGCTATTGTTGGATACACCATCCTCTCCTGCACTTCCAGAGGAGGTTGGGAGAGGGGGAAGAGAAGGTAAAAAAAGAGAAGACACAGCCTTGTCTTTGAAGCATTTTATAATACAGGTGGGAAGCCAAGGAGGGGGAAAATGTTTTTACTATTAATTCATTCCTGGTAAATGAGAGAGAGAGAGAGAAAGAGAATGACTTCCATGTTCCTTAGGTTCTTTACAGTAGTAAGATCTTAAGATGTCTCATATGTTGGTGGCTCATTTTAAGGATACTAAAGGAAGGGCAGAAGCAGAGAGAAATATCTTGATAGCTCCATGGCCATCACCACTGGAAACTAAAATGTCAGCGTTTGCAGAGTGGAATGAGCAAGAAGGCCACAGGCCCTCACTTTTCACAGTGCATGTCTGTTAAGAACAAGGAGCACCCTCCTAGATGGCACTGGAAAGGCCTTTTACTACTATTGTGGCATTTCTTATAAGGTAAGGTAGATTGCATTATTGACCCCAATTCTTCACCCCAACTTGAATCTACCTTTTTGCCAAAGTCTCACCCTAGGAGGAATGTGCTTCCCTGTCTTTACTTTTGTCTTGGTTGTGTGACTTGCTTTAGCTGACAATATGTTGGCAGAAGTGACAACATGCCAGTTCTGAGCTTAGGCTTTAAGAGGCGATGACTATTTTCACTTGCCCTTTTGAGCCTCTGCCATCACCATAAGAACAACATTCCCTAGTGGTCCAAAGACAATGAGAGATATGTGTAGCAGAGCCATCCCAGGTGACCCACAGGTCTACAGTGAGAAGTAGAGCTGCCCCTGCCACCCCAGCCTCAAGCAGAGCAATCCAGCCAGACTCCAGCTTACCTGCTGTCATGTGAGCAATAAGAAAGGACTGCTATTTTAAGCCACTGAGTTTTGAAGTGGAATGTTACATAGCCATGACTTACTAATACCCAAGGCCAGCTGATCAGAAAAGAGCCAAGTGCTTTTTCGCATAATATTGGCAAGGTCCATCATTTCAAAATGGACAGAAACAAAAACCTACTAACAGGAGAGATATCTTCTCTTTGGCATTGAATAAGACTGTTGTCTCCAAGAAAAATTAATCCTCTAGACCAGGTGTCATCTGACTTTTTCTGTAAATAGCCAGATAGTAAATATTGTAGGGTTTGTAGGCCATACAGTCTTTGTCACAACTCCTCAACTCTGCATTTGTAGCATGAAAACACCATAAACAAATGGATGTGGCTGTGTTCCAATCAAACTTTATTTATAGACACTGAAATTTGAATTTCACATAATCTTCATATGTCACTGAATATTATTCTTTTGATATTTTTCAACTATTTAAAAATGAAAAAAAAAACATTCTTAGCTCCTGGGCCATAAAAAATTCAGGCAACAGGCTGGATCTAGACTAGTAAACATTAGAAACATAAACAATACCAAACAGTGTCCGGGAAACGGGGATAGAGTAATACTAATGTACTGATGAATGACTTCTCACTTGCTTGAACCCTTGTGAGTTGTGGGAATGCTACAATGTTCTAGGTAAAGAGGGGAAACCAGGTTGCAATCAGGAAATAACAGTAAGTAAGCATTTCGCGTAAGTTATCTTAAGAGATCCCAGTAATCTATTGTAATTTCTTAGTTCATTCTAAATAAATATTCACTTTTGGATCTAGTTTTGAATTTGTAATTTTGTGTTCTTCTTAAAAAGAACCTCAATATTGTCAAAATGTCAGACCCCACAGAACCTGGATTTCCCTCTGAGAAGGAGGCAGCCATTCTGGGGAGGAATCTGATGACAGTCCAATTAAGAGTAAGCATTTGTTCTGACCCAGAAATTCCACTCCTGGGTACATGTTCCAAAGATATCCCCACACATGTCCATAAAGGAATAATGCACAAGAATACCTATTAAAGCAAGGTTCGCAGTGTCAGGGAGTTGATATCAACTCCCAACTCCATCACTGGAAGAATTGAAGGGTGAAACGTGGTTCACGCAACCATGGAGTATTATGTAGCAATCGTACACTAGAGAATTCTATGTACACAAATAAATATGGATGGCTGTTTAAAACCAGTGCTGGACTGGCCGAATGGCTTGTTGGTTAAGAGTTGGCTTGGGAGCGTGAGTTCGGAGCACCAGGGCCACTGGTTCGGATCCCACATGGGCCAGTGACGCTCCACCCTCTACAGCTAAGATGGTGAACAACAGCTTTACCTGGAGCTGGGCTGCTGTGAGTTGCCAGCGACAGCATAGGCTGCAGCAGGGCTGCAGTGTATTGCCGAAAGCTACTGTGAGTGGCTGGCAGCCAGCGTGAGTAGCTGGCAGCCATCGTGAGCTGCCATGAGCCACTGTGAGCGGCAGTTCCAATGGCCAGCAGCCAACTGCCTCAGCCAAGAAGAGTGCAATGATCATAATACCAACATGGGCCAGTGAAGCAACGTCCTCCACAACTAGACTGGAGAACAAAAGGACAGCAACTTGTCTGTTCCCCTT